TGAAAAAGATGGTTAAGAAAAATGTAAAGGCTTCCTTAAATGTCATGCTGAGAAGTTCAGACTTGATAATATTAAGCAATAGCAAATCACTTAGATTCATTTTCATTTTAAAAAGTAACATTTACAGAGTATGAAGGCTAGACCGAGGGCAGGAAGGGAAAGGAGAAAGGCAGATCCATTAAAAGAATACTACAGCAGTCCAGGTAAACAGCAACTGGAGAGATGGTCTAAAAACTACAGTGATCAACAGAAGTCAGATGTGGAAGGTGAGAACGGTAAAGAGGTAAATTTAAGAACTGTTAACTAAAATGGTATGTATAATTAGTTAGACTATGGATTAATTATAGAAAAAAGAGACTTAAAGATTTAGGGCGAATACTCTTTCAATATTTATCAAGCTGAGTGTTAAAGTATCTGCAGCACAATAAAATGAAAATATACAGTAAATCCAGGGGTGTATGAATCTGGATTTAAGAAGAAAACCCTGAACTATAAATACTTGGTAATCGCCAAAAATAAAGCTGGTAATTGAAATCATGAACATAAACAAGATTGTATAGCAAATACAGCAGGTGGCAGAGAATAAAATCTTGGGGAATACCAGTATTTATGGAACAAAGAGACAAAAAGGAATTAGCCAAATAAGTGAAAAAAAGCGAGAGAAATAGAAGAGGCATCAAAGCATACCCCTACAGACAAAGGTAATGTCTTATCATGGACAAAATAGATGTTATGTGGGATAAGTAAAACAGCCTCTGGATTGAAAATTACAACATCATTTTAGCTTCTTAATGTGTGGCGATGTCAATGGACTAGTGGGATCAGATGCACATTATATTTGGGAAATGAATGAGAAGGCATCAGTAATTCTCTTTCAATAACTCTGGCAGTCAAAGAAAGCAGAGGGAGAAGGCAACAACTGAGATTGTGAAGGTGGGAACAAGGGCAAAAAATGTTGGTTTTTCTTGGGGGATTTTGTTTTTCTTCTAATATGGAGTGAAACTTAATCGTGTCTGCAAGTGAAAGAGAAGATCTAAGAGGCAAGATTGAAGAATTAAGTTGACAGAGCAAGTCTGCAAGACAGTCACAGTGAAGGAGTGGTAGGTAAGTTGTTCCTTCCTTGGGAGAGGAAGAAAGTATTCTTCTGAAATTGAGGAAGGGAGGAGAATGAGATGAAGGTTGTCTAAGATATTATAGATTTGTTTAGAAATAGTGGGAGGGAAGCTGAGGGAGTCTAAACCACACACCACTATTTTTTGCAGTGGAGTAGGAAGTTAATTATCTGCTCAAAATGGATGCCACTAAGGTAAAGAGACAAAGCTCATGAGTAAAGATACCTGCCAGAAATGAATCCTACCAGTTTCTGCCCTCGGAACAAGTTCCCGGCATGAAGACCTAAAGTCTCAAAGTAAATCAGGTTAGGGACAAAAAGATGATCTAGTCAGATCTCTCCTCAAGGGAGACTAAAATAAAGCTCTGGGGTAGGGGAACCCACAAATTTTATGTAGTTCTGACTCAAAGCAATCGCCCCACTGGATTCAGAAGTGGTCTTATAAGAATGGAGGTGGTTAACTTAGAATTACAGAGCGTGGAGCAGTTTAATCCATAATTGTGGCCTTATTGAGCACTTAAAATATATTAAGAGCCACCAAGAGATAAAAACAAAATATCCCTACTGTCTATAAACTATTTTTTAAGGTATTAAGAGGCACACAGTTTGGAATTTGTCTATCTGCCCAAGAGGGCCTTACAAAGTGCTTAGAGCATAGCATTAGCTCATAAACTTGCTAAAATGAAAAAAGCAATTCTGATAGATCATGCACTGGCCAAGCCCTCTGCCTTGCCTTTTAACCTACAGATGTGATATGTATTCAAATATACACATTAATTCTCCTAATCGAAACCTCAAAGCCTGGTATATTGAGCAGATTCTAAGTCTTATGCAACTGTTCCATGGATCTGGAAAGAAATATTCAGAAATGAGTGTCACTCCTAATTTCAGTTTCACATTCATGTAACCACAAAAAGGAAAAACCAGTTTCTATTCTATTAATCTAGGTATATCAGAATCAAATATCCTGGGTGCTCTGTATTTTTTACCTTAGTCTAAAAAATTGATCCAATGCTGTTATTCTTATTCCTTTATCATAGAAGAAATATCTTCACTAGCGCACAAAGTAACTTTATAACCCAAGAGAGTATTATATTAAGCTGAGATATAAGATATGAAAATAGAGAAATTTTTACCTTCTATAGAAAGCTAAGACCACAAAACCGACTTAGGTAAAATGGCTAACTGAAAAATTACATCACCAAAAGAATATTACTGTATTTTAAAATAATACCTATACTAGCTATAGCTGAAATCACATTAAGGAATACAAATTTAATTTTGGTAATATGAGTGATTACTTTGGACTTTGAATATTTATCCATTGGGGGGGAAATACCTATTTTTCATCTTTAGAACTTGGCCTTTCAAATCTCCATTAACAACTCAGTGGCAAAGATAAAACATCTGCCAAAACACAGATGACAGCATGAGCAAGTGTCCTAATGGCAGGCATTTAGCGGAATGCTTTACACACTGCTTCTAGACTGCTGGGACAGCCCCATAAATAAGTACTTTTAAATAGACATTTACTTCCTTAAAACGGCAACTTGTATTTAAAAATAATATATTCTTTAGGAGAAAAGAAAACATTTTCATTCAAACAAGCCAAATTACTACTAGACTTAGAAAATAAAAAATTTTTTAAATTCATTCATGCAGACCTTTGATTTTTTACATGTTTACTTTGAACAAAGAAAAATCTACCATACAAAGACAGTTCATGTCACTGTCATTATTTATTTAAGGTTGTATTTACTAGCTAGTGAATACCACCAAAACTGTTGATGTGTTTTTAAACAAAATCTAATTGGAATATGGAGGGCACAGGGAGGATAGAAACACAGTAATTCATTCCACATCTCCTAAACCATTACACTGGGTTGCAGTTTCTCTATAATTGGATGAAATAGGTGTATGTGATAACTTCTTTTACCACAAAGGTCACTGAAACCGGAGAGGTTGCTAGGAAATGGCCTGATTACCAGTGCTTTACAAGTAAAACTGAAAAAAAAAAAAAACCCAAAACTTCATTACTAATGAATGTATGAATCAGTGCCTTTCTTAATCATCCTGGACTCTAAATTCAGTCCCCAATCCCTTGGCTTGTAACTACTTTTGTTCTGAGACTATTAACATCTCTTCATACATGGTACATTTGAAGCTACATATTAAATACACATGGATCTATTTTATGACAAGCATTACCATTCCCTCTTTTATATTTCACATTTAAAGAACTCAAATGCATAATGCCTGTATTTTTTTCAGGTTAACATTAACTAAGCAGAATAAAATACTATAAATTAGGAATTTTACGACTCTGTGCAATGTGAATACATTACTATTGTGTGTAAATAAGGGCCAATTATATGTGATCTTAACTTTTACTAAAGATTGCCTAATATAATACCTCTCCCACAAAGTACTATTCCAACAGTTCTAATCTGCTTGAAAACAGGACTCTCCTTATTTTAAAAACAGTACATAGTTTACACTTTTTACAATTCAGACTAGTTTTGAATCAGTGATATTGTATTACAAATTTATATTTGGTTCAATATGAAGGCTTTCGCTTATACAACAGATACCTGAAAACAATATTAGTTTGGTTATAAAGACAGTAATGGCAACAAGCATAATAAGGAAGATTGACAGGAAACACTACCTAACATCCACCATAGAGGTCTTGATTATTTACAGCTCCAACATGCCAGGATGCTTGGGGAGGAGAGAAAGTGGAAAGCAGGGACTTAAGGGCGTCTGGGAAATCGCTCAAAGTCACAAGCCTTTAAGAACACCACATGGAGGCTAATAATCTCTTTTAAAACCAAATTAATTTAGCATTCTAGGCTAAATGTAACAATGCTGTTCCTGGCACTCAAGTGCAATTCTGAATCTTACAGAAAGTTCACAAAAGGCTCTACAGATGCGAAACGTGAACAGTCACTGTAGAGCCATGCACATCCCTGCTCCTTCCTCATTTCTTACAAATGAAGCACGCGTTTCTAAAAAGCGAAATGGATTCCAAAAGCTTGGGGTGGGGTGAGGTGGGGTGGGAGGCTCCTTTGGCATCGAAAGACAACAAATCCCACTCTGCTACACGTGTTTTTTCTTGAGGTTACTGTCTTCAGTATTTTAGGCACAATCTAAATTACTTTTAAAAGATTCCTCCAAATAAAGAGGGAAAACTTCAAAGCACATTTTGGAATGTATGTGTTCAAGTGGCCGATGGGGCGTGGGAGGGGGTCACGCCAGGAAGCTTATTTCTAGCATTAAAAACAACAGCAAAAAATAATGCGGCCGGAAGATTCATCTGATTCAATGCTGAGTTGGAAATTAAACTAACGTGTCCTTTACTTCCCCTTCGCTCTTGTTTTCAAGAAGACAAACAGCAGAAACCCCTTCTTGTTGACTTCGCCAAAATGCGCACTTCCATCGCAAGAGGCCCTGGCCCTCCCCCACCCTCCGTCAACTCCCAAAGCGTGTAATCTCCGGGAAGGGAGAGAGGTGCGAAAGAAGGGGTTCCTGTTAGCTGCCACCCCCTCGCCTCCGATCGCGCCTTTTCTTTCTTCACAGTTAATTTCTGCGCGAGGTGCGCGGTTTGGAGTCTTCCTGGATGCAAGCATTTGGCGACAGAGAGTGGGGTGAAGGAGATGAGCCCCGCTCTCACTCCGGGGGAAGAGGAAGGCTGAGGAGAAGCAGGAAGGAAGGGGGCGCCCGACTCCCCGAGGGGCCCTCCCACGTCTGCGCTCCCGGCCCGCGCGACTGTTGCCCGGGCCACCTTCTCTGGGCGCCTCGGGGAGGAAGGACTGGGGCTCAGCCCACACTCCGGCGGGGGAGAAGAGCCATCAGCCGCAGGGCTGGGGGCGAGGGAGGAACCACTCACCGCAGGACGCCGAAGTCAGCAACAGCGCCGCAACCAGGGGCCACATCTCTGCGCCTGCCGCGGGGTCGCCGCCGCCGCCGCCACCGGTGTCTGGAGCAGCCGCCGCGGCTGTTTCTGGCAGCACCGACCGCCGCCGCCCGATGCTAGCAGGACCCGCTGCCCAGGCTGCCCGGCCGCGCGCATGCGCGCTCCCTCCGCCCCACGCCCGCTCCACCGCCCGCGCGAGCCGCGCACGCGCACTCGACCCCGCCCCGCCGCCGCGGCTGTTGACGCTGCGATCTCCCGGTTGCGAGCTGTGGTCCCGGCTCCCATCCGCTCCGCGGAGGCCAGATGCCCGCTCCGAGGCGGTGGCGAACGCCCAGTTTCCTGGTCACGTCCTGCCGCACCCGCCACCCTCTGAGCTCCGTGTCCTCGCCCACCGCAGGAGGTTGAGCGTGTGTTCCCACGCTTACGGGGGACCTCACCCGAGTCTTCGCGCGGTTCCCCTCCAGCCTCTCACACAGCCCTGGGCCCCACTGTCCTGTCGCCACTTTTCCTCTCCTGGCTTTCACTCCCACCCTCACGCTTCAGGGACCCTGCGACCGCGGAACATCGACTGCCGCACCAGCGTCTGGCCCCCCTCCTCTTCCGAGACCTGACGGACGCCTAGGCTTGCTCCTCCACCCATTCCCCCGCACCCTGCCTAGCCTCGCTCCTGCACCTGTTCCTCAGCACTCCGTCTAGGCTCGCTCCTGCACCCATTCCCCCGCACCGTGCCGAGGCTCGCTCCTGCACCCATTCCCCCGCACTCCGCCTAGGCTCGCTCCTGCACCCATTCCCGTGCACCCTGCCTAGGCTTGCTCCTGCACCCATTCCCCCGCACTCCGCCTAGGCTCGCTCCTGCACCCATTCCCCTGCACCCTGCCTAGGCTCGCTCCTGCACCCATTTCCCCGCACTCCGCCTACGTTCGCTCCTGCACCCATTCCCCCGCACTCCGCCTAGGCTTGGTCCTGCACCCATTCCCCCCGCACCCTGCCTAGGCTCGCTCCTGCACCCATTTCGCCCGCATCGTGCCTAGGCTCGCTCCTGCACCCATTCCCCCTCACCCTGCCTAGGATCGCTCCTGCACCCATTTCCCCGCACTCCGCCGCGGTCCCCAGAGCGCAGTCCGCGCGGGACGTCTGTTCTCTTCCCAGACGGACAGTGAGCCCGAGGGCGCCGCGTGCAGGGCCGGAGGAGCCCGCGTCCCTGCCCGCAGGGAGCCTCAGCTTTCTCGCCCCTCGCGGGCTCCGCTCGCTCTGCTCAGGTAGCCCGCTCTGGCTTCTTTGTTTCTGTCCCATGTGGTTCTTTTGCCTCTTTCTCATTTGGTTCTTTAGTGTTTCCATCCTCTAGTGTTTCCTTCATCAAACATGTTTCATTCCAGGTGGTTAACATCTTAAAATGTGAACACCAAAACCGAAGGGACTGTGAGGCATTCTTGAGAACCCGCATTAGGAAGTACTTCTAAGACATCCGGCAATATCATGGAGCTTAGTCTGTGACTGCACCATGCGCAGCCCTCTGCTCTGTCTGGCTTTAACAAGCTTGAAAAATGGGTTCGAAATGTGGCTTCAAGCCACAATATGGACAAGACCTTTGAATATATCGCAGAATCACACAGGCCACATCATTCATACCGAAGCAAAAGCCTTTGTAAAGCTACCTTTAACATTTATCCTAACTGATGAACTCTCTTGTCAAAATGTCAGACTCCGGTGCCTGCTCTAATGGGGTATCTTCTCCACTCCTTTGATTGTTTTTCTCTTACCTGCTGGAAAAGAAAGCAATTTTAGCGCCACAATAGCCCTCTTCTCCAAATCCTATACCCAGAGAGTCTCCTTCTAAACATCCCATCGCCACAGTAATAAAATCCAGGAAATAAAATTTGCTCTCTCTGTGATACTCTGTACCAGTGCTTTTTCCTGTTATTGTTTTGAATGGAAATCTGCCCCACAGCATTATCAATTCTTTTAAATCAGAGAGAGCCTTTTAAGTATTTTTTCCTCCCAAGATTTCCCTTGAACTGGGCAAACAGAAAGGGTTTAGTAAATGTGTTGATGTGACTTGAGGCAAGCATTGCTCTAGTGAAATTTGATTGTTTTTTTAAATGATTAGAAAAAGAAAGAAAAACAATTGTCTGGCAGACATCTCACTAAAACAATGGTTAATAATTATGGTGATAATGATTTGAATGGCTGCCTTGACACCCTGAGGCAACCAAAGGGACTGATCGATTCTCCTCCAACTGCTGCTTATAGGGATACAAAAGAATCATCCACCAGACTTTGAGCATTAGGGACATTGTGTATCATAGAGCAGCTGGTTGGCTAAATAAGGCTGTCAGCTGTCCCTGAAACCAACCAACAGCCCTAAAGCTGAAGAATGAGTAGAAAGGACTGTCCCTAACCTTCAGAGGTAGTCATTGGGTGATGCTCTGTTTTATACTGGGAGCTACTGAAGCTATACACTTAAAGTCTTTTCATGCCAAAAATAGGATGGGCTTATGTCAGGTGAATGAAGGCTACCTGGTGACCACCTCTGCTCTTGGGAATCTAGCTGGGAAAGGTTTTGATGAGGGGATAAGAGGAGGCCTATCCCAGGAGAGACAATCCAAAGCAACCTGCATAGGTTTAACTGTCTTCTCTCTGAGATAACCTTAAGCTTCTTTCTCCAGCATCTAATCATTTTAAAGGCAAAAGGTGTAAACGATGATACCCAGAGAAGCCTTAGAGAAGAATTTCAGGCCAGGTTTACTGAAAGCGGAGAGTTACCTCCCTCCACTGCTTGTCTGCTCTGGGATAGTTAGAGGCCCCTTTTATATGGTGCTGCAGCGAGTAGGCAAATTCCACAGCCTGCCAGGCAGGTTATAGCCCTTTGGCGGGAACTACTTCTGGGCGGGGCTCGCCAGATCCTTTGTGTCTTTGTCTTAGGAGGAGAGGAGGAGAGGAGGGAAAAGGGTTTATGTGTGGCTGCATTGGGCTGCCCAGCAAAAGTTTTGCCTTTTAAGGTTTCTAGGCATCTTTATTTGGATTTGGAGCTTATGTTTATGTAAGGAGTTTATTGGGTGGAGAGGGAGGAGAGTGCACATATCAGAAGGTTTTGAACGGAAGTAGTATGTTAGGTCCAAAAAATCCTGCCAAATTAGCCCCAACAGACGAACTCGAGACAGGCTCTGATGTAAAGGGCATGAGGTGAGATTGTATTCAGACCAGTCTGGACTCTCTTGGCATGCAAGCCTAGGACGAGCCCTGAACCCAGGGTGGAGGAAGTTTTTATGGGTACAGAAAGCAAGAGGGGTAGGGTCGGATACGAGTACACTTTTTATTGGTGGTTGGTGATTTCATTAGTAAAGGAGGAAGTAAAGGAGGATTTGCATTGGTAGCTGATGATTTCACTAGTAAAGGTGAATTTGGATTGGTACAGGTGAGGGGTGGGGGGGTCCCTTAACCGGGGGCTAGAGTTGGTGCAACCTGGTTACCTGTATTTGAAGGTAATAGAAACTTATTGTTTATTATAGTAGCTGTTTGCCTAAGGTGACTCAGTTTACTGCTCAGTGGCTGTGCAACCTGGGGTGGGGGAGAGACAGCATGGAGTGGCCCTGCAGGTTTCACTGGCAGAGGTTGGGGCGGAGGGGCTATGAATGGAACTTATGTGGTAAACAGCCAGGAATGGCGCTTGTGCTGTAAACAGCCAAGAATGGAGCTTGTGCTGTAAACAACAAAATGGAGCTAGTTTGGCTCTCACAGTACACATTAACTATACTACTTAATCTTCATAATAGCCTCAGAAAGGGTAAGCATATGATCTCCTTAGAGATGAGGAAACAGAGGAGGAGGCATGACGCTTTGCCACAGTTGTTTGTGATATGCTCTCTCTTGTGTGTGTATGTCTTTCTTCCCAGTCCTCCTTTTCCTACCTTAATTGTTAGCCTCCACCTTCAAAGTTGTTACAGTTTCCTCCTCATTGAGAGGAATACACTCACACCCTCCAAACAATTACTGTTACCACCTTTCTAGATGAGGAAAGTGTGGCTTGGTCACAAGCTCAGGGAGGGCCTATGATTGGACTGACCTCACGGTGAGTCAGGACATTCACAAGCTTCTTTTCTCAATTCCTGATCAGTTCCCCTTTCCCTCACTGTCTCAGCAATGCATCTACTTTTGTCTTCCTCCCCAACCTACATCTACCTCACAGTAGATATTGATGTGATATTGTCTGCAATCTTATGTTGATAGATGTGTAATTTTTCTTTTTTTCTTTTTTTTGCAGTTTTTGGCCAGGGCTGGGTTTGAACTCACCACCTCTGGCATATGGGGCTGGCACCTTACTCCTTTGAGCCACAGGTGCCACCCCTAGATATATAATTTTTCATCCAGCAAATATAGATTACAGACATTTGGCCCCATATGAGTGTGCCATGCAATGTATGAGAGACAGTACTATCTCCTAGTACTCTTGGGAGTTGGCTTAGACCTGTATGTGGCTAACTACTGAGGTCCTGTGCTTTGTGTAGGGCCAGGTACATCATTCTATTGAGTGAACCTATAGCAAAGATCGCACAGTCAGAACAAAGCCCAAGATAATGCCCATATAAATTAAATGCCCTTCTCTGTGTTTTGGTTTTGTTTGATATATATCAGTTACCATATTATATTGAATTATCTGTTTGTATGCCTGTCTTCCTCTGTAATAGTAATTTAATAATAATAGTAAGTTCAATGAGGGGAGAGACTATATGAGTCTTGTTCATTTTGTTCACTGCCGGCTCCATTGCTGTACACATAGTAGGTGTTCAATAAATGATTGTTAAAAGGATAAATGAATGAGTGAATGAATGAATGAGTAAACCTTTCAAGGTCAGGAACTTTATCTTGCATGGGGGGGGCTGTTCTGTAAATATCTGTGAAGTGAACTATTGAACTAACTCTGAAGCTGATCTGACATTAAAGGTTCTTAGCATCAAGTTCCTATTTTTGGCTTATTAACATTAGCTGGTTGAGTTCATGAGTATTATCTTTTCTTTATTAGTTAGTGTCTCTGAATATGTTTTTTTTTTAAGTAATGAAGTTTTTTTGTTTGTTTGTTTGTTTTGAGATGGAGTCTTCCTCTGTCACCCAGGCTAGAGTGCCCAGGCATCAACCTCACAG